AAGCTGCTCATGCTCATAAGTTGACAATGTTGAGGAGATTGCCATAACTCGCCAATAGTATCTTCCTTTTAAATAAAAATCTTCAATGAAATACAAATAATCACAAGTAATATTTGTTGAATCAATTTTCCTCCAACACCATGAATCGCCAACTTGACTACCGACCATTACGATTATGCGATAGACATTACCCTTCAAAATTTGAAAGTTCCAGAGACCAACAATCTTCCAAGTCATGTTCTTACAAAGCCCAAAACCGAATTCATCATTCATAACGAACCTCATGGGTGGTTCGTTTGGTGGATCATGGGGATTTCGGAAGACAACCTTAAGTGCGGGTAAGGATTTGGTTTCCTTGGTGGATGGGTTCCATATCACAATGTCATAAATCATATCCTTCCCGAACGAAAGGTAAAATGGATCCTCCCTACTGACAATCAAACATAACATACCATACAAACACTTGACATGCCAAATTTTTAAATGGAAAGGTGTTATGTCTAGGTTTCGAAATCCCACTGCATAAAACTCCGATTCTTTGTAAAGCAAGTTTATAGCTTTGCTTTGATAATTTCCTGACTCTATAACAGCATATCCTTGTTTTGTTTTGCTCATCTCGTAGTGTTTGTGCATGAACTGAAGATCGCTCTTTATCAAATTATAGAACGATTTACAAACAGACTTAAACCGCATCAGAGACTTTACAGGCAGTCTTGCCAAAATGTCAATCAACATATCGAAAGGTATTTCACAATTTTCCATTTTGGGTTGACAAGTCATGTTTTAAGAAACCGAGATGTCAAATGCTCGTGTATTAACACCAATGAAAGAGTACCTCTGATCCATACATGATTGTCACAATAGAAACAGTCAAACACCAACAATCGTCATTTACTCGTGCGCCTGCAAAAACGAACTTCTCCATTTTCAGATGAATTGTTTGTGGTGCAGACAAATTGCCTTCGATATAGATAAAATGTATGGGGCGGGTACACAAAGAACATTTCTAAAAAATTGAGAGTTACATGGCATTAATGATATATGATGTCTTAATCTTTACTTTATTAACTTTTATGCATATGAAATTTTAACCCTATTTTACTGACATTTTTTATGAATATTACAATTAATACATTATATGACACAAAAGTTATCTAAACAAAAAGTTTCCTCATATGTGACTATCGACACTTGTGTGGGTGACTAAAAAGGGGGCTTAAAGAGAGCATTGGAAAGTTTTCATGCAAAAAGGAAAGATTTAATTTATTAATACCTTTCCATATTTTTTGTAACTGCCATCCCTATTAATTAGAAGTGTGTTTCTTCTCTATTGAGCTTCACCGCAAGACAAACAATGATGAAGACAAAAAGTAATTACTCTCAAGTTTGTATGGCTTTCACAGCTGTGAAGATTGTAGCAAATTCAGGTCTTTTTAGGCATACACGATACAACAGGGGAAGACATGTGTGGCATTTATAAGAAGTGGTGACTTTTTTTGGAGAGGGATAATGTAATTTAATAGTAACTGAGTGCGTATAGTGACTGCCTTTTTAGTGGCTTAAAATATTGTTGTATAAGTGAATACAACAACTAAAGCTATTTATGATACTGAATAATGTGAAGTACTATTCACGTGATTATCAATTTAAGGCAGATAGTGATTATCAACAACGATGAGTTTTGTCACTTTATTAGTGAGTAAATTTGTAGTGACTAAGAGTTCAATATAGTCACTGAATTTTGAAAGAAAATGTATTGATGATGATGATAATATATGTGAAATTATAGTAACACATTTTTGGTTGGTGTGTTAGGTGCGTACAAAAATACTGCAATGCAGACATTTAGCCGGAAATAAATATAGATTTTAATAAATATGGTATGATGTAAAAACTATTATTTTGAAAATAGCTACCTGGTGTTGGTTTATGCGTCAAGAATTTTAACACTTGTATGAGAAAGATGTTAAAAAAATTGTTACCAATTTGATAAATTATTGTCACTCTATTTATATTTTAAATGGGTACGAACATGTGGAATAGAAAAATCTCAATTACTAAAAGGGTATATGCTTTTAGGGCGTCATTAGTTATTTTTTATGTTGAACACCACTTCAAATACTGGAAGTGCAATTGGATCAACAAAGGATGCATTCCATTTGTTCAAGAGCGGGGAAGCACTCAAAAGTCAAAAGCCCAAATTCGAAGAGCTAACACGTTAGAGATATTTTATGGTGTTAAATCATGTTTTAATTAGTTGTATTCGTGTTGCATTTAGTCTAATTAATATATTTATTAGACTATTATTAGACTAGCTATATTAGGAAAAGCCTTGTACCGTGTGCATTTGGGTCACCTCAATAAAGGGGTCCAATCACACTTAGGTCACGTCAACTCATTCCCTAGGCATATAAATATTGCCTTAAAGTGAATGGGATCACAAGTCTCTACATAATTCTCCTAAGCATAACTTCATTCTAGAGAGAGCCACTATTCATACCCTGCACTGTATTGCAAAATCATTTTGGTATTGAATATACATTTCTATTCTTCTCTATTTTATTGGTTTGATTGTTGAAATAGGGACAAACATAACATATACCCAGTTCTCTTATAAACAATGTTTTCTTGACAAATCTTCTAAATGACTAGAAAAAAACAAAAAATAAAAAGGGGGTTAGAATACTGTAGGTAAAATATTTTATAATTTTATTAATATATTTTGGGTGAATTGAAATTGTAGAAGAAACTTACACCATTAGATGGTGATGCATGAGGAATTGAGACAAACGACATTGTCAAACATAGGTAAACGAAAGGTAAATTTTAACTCAATATAACAAAAGTATCATGGTGAAAGTAAAATCAAACTATAACAAAGGAAACTCAATAAAGACTGAACCCAAGGCATCTAAACGAATATCAATGACCAAATGAAATCCTAAAAAATAAATTTCAAGTGAATAACATTATTGATATCTATACTTCATAATGAAATCCTGAAAAATAAATTTTAAGTGAATAACATTATTGATATCTATACTTCATAATTGAAGAGATGGTTTATTCAATATTCAGTGACCAAATGTAAATATGGAAACAACCTCAGTGGATTATGAGTGTTGATACTTTACATCTAAAAATCAAACTTATACACATATTAGGGGGAGTATCAAGGAGCTTTCATTTATACTCTACAAATGTAGACAATATTTATAGTTTATTCAGTGATCTTTTGAAAGTCCAAAAAAGTCCAACTCATCATACAACTATACCTCGAGTCAAATTAAATAAATTGTTCATTGCAAGCTACAAACTTACAAATTTCATCTACTTTCTTGTTGAATTGATGAATCAATTAAAATGTTGGAGCATTCAATAATCATCCCATAAGAGAATTCTAATGAAGAAGTGTACGTACAGTACATCCTATTCTAGTTCACATTAAAAGGATAAATATCATAGGAGCAATCTCAATTGTTCGGTGAATTGGGGTTAGCTAGCTAGGGTTAGAAAGAAAAACACAACTGGAACTCCGCCAAAAATTAAATGAATGGATCACTCATGAAGCAAATGAAAGGGATAAGATGTGCAACAACGAAATGTTTAGGTTTAGAATGATCACCACACAAAGCTTCGATGAAATGAAGATGCTACCAGGCCATCGGGTGAACCTTAAGAGGGATGAAGCAGAGACGGGAGGATGAAGATCTAAGTGAGCGAGATGCAGTTACCATATAGAGGGGTGTTTGAGTATGTGGAGATATCAATGATGAAAGTGAAAAAAAAAAGATTATTTTAGGAAGAGTCGGTATTGTTGAAAAATATAAACATGTACCCTTCATTTTATTCAAGCCACATTTACAGAAAAAAGAAGAAGACTTATATCTTTGGAAAATCAAACATCAATAGTATTATTGGGGCCATTTTTCAATTATAATATTGTGGAGTGTATCCCCTCCTTTCTTTTGTTTTTCTTCTAACGTTTAATATAATATCTCGTGCGTTTCTTTTTTAACTTCTTCGTTTTCTCCGGCCCTTTGTTCTGCCTTCTAACTGTGACACCGCACCCGAGCGTTCTTGAAATTCAAATTTAAAATTCAAAGCTTATGTATTGAATTTCCCTATTATTGAACAATTGTAAAACGATTAATGTTTTACGTGATGCATGATTAATCATATTACTGTTTGGGCTCGTATAATAATAATAGGCTTACAAATACTTAATTGGGAAATCTTATTCGATATAAGAGCCCAACACCATGTAAATAAGGATATGTAACCCTTCGATGCAAAATAAGAACGGTCGGGCAGCCCAAATGTTATTTTGGGCCTAACCTGCTAAAAATAGCAAGTATTCAAGAATGGCACCCTGGGCCCACTTGAGGATGGTCCACATGGCTTGTAGCCCAGGAATATAAAGTCAGTGGTTACAAATAAGTGAATTTGTTAGCTAGAGAATAATACAAACTCCTATGGTCCCACCTTAGGCATATTGAGCTAAGTAATGGGAATAGGGTTTTCTTCTATAATTATACATCATATAAATTATTGGGATTTTCCTAAACTTATTAGAGACCAATAATATGATGTAGAGGCTTGACTTGGCTTAAATAAATTAGGATGAGTACAAAAAGACATCTCATGACAAAAGATAAAAAATAGGACCCATCTTTCCATCTATGGAAGTATTGGTGGATATTTTGGACCCCAAATTGATTGGGATCAATTGAGAACCACTCCGCATGGATTGAAAACCTGCAAAACAAGGAAAATAAGTTAAAACACATAAATGGGGCGGACCTATTGAGTTGAGAGCTCAAACAATACAAAAAGAAATAAAGATGGAGGTCCACCTCATATTTGATTGCAAATCAAATATCTCTCATGCTCTCTTGTAAGCCACATGCTTTGATAACATGATCGAGGGCTCTTATACACCTCCCCCTCACCCCCATTCGAACTCTAGAATATAAGAGAGAAGGGAGAGCCTCACAATCAAAAGAAAATAAGATAAGAGCAAACTGTCCGCAGGGACATTTCCAGTGCGTAAGGTTGATTGTTTGCTTCATATCTTGAACTACACTCGTCCAAATAAGGCGTGTGAATTGTATACTAAAATCTCTCAAGACTAGGAATCCGTGAAGATCTTTTTTGCAGAAAAATGAGTTGTGTAAGGCTTCCAAATCGTCCGAACAAAACACAACCTCGCAGAATCGGATTTTCCTTTCCAAAGTGAGTTTAACCCCAAAACCTTTCTTTTCATTTTCCAAATGATATGAACGATTGGTGTAACTTTGATACACTATTTAAAGTTCATAATATGTCCTTATAAAGTTAATTTATTGATGAAAAGGTTAGATACTAACCTAGACCAAACCTTGAAAGGTTAGGGAACGAATTCGCCGGAAAACACCCATTCTAGGGCTATTTTTGTGTCATTGATAAAAGGTTGAGCTAGCACCTTGATAAGGCTTCTTAACACTCCTTTCTAAGCAAGGAACCAGTTCTTAATCCACCTTGACCGAAGATTTGACCATTGGATTAAGAAGGAAAGGTTTAAAATTCAATTAAGGTGAGGATTGACATCTAGTTGCTTTCAACTTATAGGTTAAGCATGAGATTTCCTAAATGCATAAATCATGTTTTTCATGGATTATGAAGATTGATTATTGATGAAATGTGGATATATTTGATAAGGAATGGAATTGGAAATGATTTGGAATCATATTGATAAAAATGGAGTTAAATGAACTATTATGTAAAATAGGCATTTTTACTCATGTGTGAATTGTGTAGATACATAAATGAATATTTATGTATTACACTAGATGCTTAAGTTGTTGTTACATATCTCTAGATATGTAGGAACTTACAAGTAGAATATTTGATTTATAAGAATAATCTTAATAGTATTGAATTACTAGTTAATGATTGTTTGTAACTGTCAAGGAATTGAATCTAAGAATTTGATTGTAAGTGATGTACTTGAATGTGATTCAAGTGACTTAATTGATTTAGTATGAAGCTAAGATCATGTTATGGGCAGTCTGTAAGGATGTCCCAAAGTAGATTATTAATATCTCAATTCTAGGCATAGGTTTGCTTAGGAATTGAGTCTATGCCATGGCACGGTGATGTACTTTAGTTGAACTCTAGAAGTGCATGGGTAGACAAGGGGTTGTAATTGATGACATGCATGGTGATGTACTTGAGTTGGACTCTAGAAATGCATGAGAGATTTGAGGCTGTAGCCTATGGTGTGCATGGTGATGTACTTGAGTTGGACTCTAGAAATGCACAGTGGAGTAATTAACTTGTGTCATATGATTTGCATGGTGATGTACTTGAGTTGGACTCTAGAAATGCAAACATATATGTTAGGGTTGGTGTGACACCGCACCCGAACGTCCTGGAAATTCAAATTTAACTTCAAAGCTTATGTATTGAATTCTCCTATTTTCGAATAATTGTAAAACGATTAAAGTTTTACGGAACGTATGATTTATCATATTACTATTTTGGGCTCATACAATGGTAACAAACTTCTAAATAATTAATTGGGCCATATCATTGATATTGGGGCCCAACATCCTTAAATAAAGATATACAACCCATCGGTACAATGTAAGAGCGGTCGGACAGCCCAAATGTTATTTTGGGCCTAACCTGCTAAAAATAGTAATTATTCAAGAATGACATCCTAGACCCATTGGAGGGTGACCCACACGGTTGGTAGCCCGTATATATATATATATATACACATATACATTAACATCATAAATGAATGATGGAATGATTGGAGAATACAAATGCCTATGGTCCCATCTTTGGCATTATTAGGCTAAATAATGGGAGTAGGGTTTTCTTTCGTAATTGTACATCAAATAAATTATTGGGACCACCCTACACATATTAGAGACCAATAATATGAAGTAGGAGGTTGACTTGATCAGAATAAATTGGGGAGAGTACAAAAGTACATCTTATGATAAAAGACAAAAATGATAGGACCCATCTTTCCACTCTTGAAAGTATTGATAGAAATTTTGCTCCCAAAATAATTGGGGAACACCATTATGCGACCCATCTCTTCCTTCCGCCTACAAGACAAGGAAATTAATGTTAGGGGTCGGCCCTATCTGACTTTGGGGGCTAGACTTGACAAAGAAATTAATGGGGAGACCCACCTAGTCAAATTTCGCACAAATCATGGGGGTGATTTGCATCCCTCCATACCTGGAGTTTTACTCGACCAAATGAGGTGTATAAGTTGTCCCTGGATAGCCCTTGAAGTCTAGTTGACTAATTGGGTGGTCGATGTGCGAAGAGAGAGATATTTCCAGATATAAACCGAGATTGAGTGAACTGCTGCGCATAATCTCGAGTAGGGAGAAGGAGGTGTTGTCTGGTTCGTATCGTGAGCTCCAGTTGTCCAAATAGGGCGTGTGAGGTGTCTACGGAAAGATATCGAGACGAGGAATCTGTAAAAATATGTTTTGCATCAAACGAAGTTGTGAAAGGCCTCCAAATCGTCCGAACAAAACACAACCTCGCAGAATCGGATCTTCCTTTCCAAAGTGAGTTTTAACCCCAAAACCTTTCTTTTCATTTTCCAAATGATAAGAACGATTGGTGGAACTATTATACACTATTTCAAGTGTATAAAATGTTATTATAAGGGTACCTTATTTGTTGTAAAGGTTAGATACTAACCTAGACAAAACCTTGAAATGTTAGGGAACGAATTCGCCGGAAAACACCCGTTCTAGGGACTGTTTTCGTGTTGACGTTTAGGGGTTGAGCTAGCACTGTGAGGAGGCTGCTTAACACTCATTTTTAAGCAAGGAATCAGTTCTTAATCAACCTTGTCCGAAGCTTTGACCATTGGATCAAGAAGGAGAAATTTAAAGCTCATTTGAGGTGAGGATCGACATCTAGTTGCTTACAACTTGTAGGTTAAGCATAAGATTACCTAAATGCCTAAATAATGTTTTTCATGGATTATAATGACTGATTATTGATGAAATATTGATATATTAGATAAGTAATGAAATTGCAAATGATTTGGAAATCATATTGATAAAAATGGAGTTAAATGAACTATTGTGTGAAATAGGCATTTTTACTCATGTGTGAATTGTGTAGATACATAAATGATTATTTATGTATTACATTGGATGAATAAGTTGCTGCTACATATTTCTAAATATATAGGGATTTACAAATGAAATATATGATTGATGGAAATAATCTTAATACTATTGGAATACTAGTTAATGATTGTTTGTAATTGTTAAGAAATTGAATCTAAGGATTTGATTGTAAGTGATATACTTGATTGTGGTTCAGGTGAGTAAATTATTGTAATGTCATGCTAAGATCATGATGAAGCAGTCCGTAAGATGTCCCGAAATAGCTTATTGATATTACAATTCTAGGCATAGCGAGTGCTTAGGAATTGGGGTCTATGCCAATGCAAGGAGATGTACTTGAGCCCGATGCTCTAGAATTGCATTGGGTAGACATAAGGATTTGGTTCAGCCCATGTAAGGAGATGTACTTGAGCCCGATGCTCTAGAATTGCATGGGTGAACATGACGTCGGAGATTGGTGGAGTAATTGACTTGTGATTGATGTGCATGGTGATGTAGTCGAGTTGGACTCGAGAAATGCAAACATGTGTGTTAGGGTTGAACCCTATGTATTATCGTGACTAGGGGTCATGGGGTTTGGGTTATGTTTTGTAAACGAACTTTGGGCCATGGGCCGACTACTTGACTTTATATATAAAGTAAGTATATTTTAAAAAGGGGTAACTTGGGGTTACGGCCTAGAATTATATTATCACCCTATTTGAGGGTCTTGTGTTTGAAATATTTGTTGTATATCTATTAGATGTCATCCACACCAGTACTTTATAGCCGTATAGAGTACTGACCCCCTTTCGGGGGGCGTCCCACCACCATTTCAGGTTGAGGCTAGAGCTTGCTACCCGTGCTTGTTGATCGCGCGATCATCTTCGAGGGAAGACTTGGTTCGTACTTCCTCCATTCTGTTTTTAAACAATTTAAACATGCTCATGGATATTGTTTTTCATTATGGAGCCTGCGTGCTCGTATTTGCCCCATGTGGCACTTGTTTTAAAACTATGATTTCCGCTGCGTATTCAATTACTTATTATGTGTGTTTATGGATAACTAATGTGTGAATGATATTCGAGACGCCTTGTATAATATGGATGAGTTAGACTGCGGTTGACTATTCATATTGTACGGCAGATTGTTGACGTGTCCGGATAGGTCCGAGGCGTGATAATTTAATTGGTATCAGAGACAGGTTCCATAAACTTCATAATGAAGACTCAAAGTCCTCTCTTTCCAAATGATTTTGAAAACCATGAGCATAAATGTTTTGTACTTATAGAACTTTTGGTACTAGAGTTGCAATGTCTCTAATTGTTAAGATGGTACCCTTAGCAATTGGTATGGTGGCAATTTGAGCCAAGTAGTGTCTTCAGTACCTATCCGTCCATTGACATTTGATACGAGTCTGATGACTCTTTCCAAAATTTCTTTCAGAAATGGACGGTGGTGGCAAGGTTACGAGAAGGAACCCGACGGGCCGTGCACCGGTGGGGACGGGGTGATGGAGGTCTAATCATAAGGATCTCGAAATTTCTCAAGGAGGTGAGAGATTTGGGGTGCAAACCCTTCAATGGAACGGGTGACATCTCGGTCGCCGCGGAATTGATCAAGATGCTGAACGAAGCAACCCTTGATATGCAACTCACCCCCGAGTTTAAACTCAGGGTGGTGGTGAGATTGCTTGAAGGGATGGCGTCCACATGGTGGGACGGGGCCAAAGGCAAGTATGGCAGGACCGTGACCTGGGAGAATTTTCGACAGGAGTTCTTTGCCCAATACTATTCCGATTTTGAGGTGAACGCTAAGAGGAGAGAGTATACCCTCCTGACCCAAGGTGGCAAAATGACGGTGAGGCAACTTGAACACAAATTCAGGGAGCTCGCGGAGTTCATACCGGACTATGTATGTGATGAGAACCGAATGGTTAATCACTTTTGGGATGCCTTAGACTTGGAGGTGCGTGAGAGGGCAACGCAATTGCCCAACATGACCTTCAGTCAAGTAGTTGAGAAGGGGTTGAAAGGAGAGAAGGAATGGGGAGAAAGAAAGATGAAAAACGCCGAGGAGGCGAAGAAGAGGAAGTGGGAGAACCATGGACCTCAAGGTCCTAACAAAAAGGAGAATCATGGAGGAGGAGGATCCTTTCGGGCACCCCCATTATCACCTAAGGGAAGCCAAGGCCCGGGCGGGCAATCATAAGCCTCGGGGGCGACTCGTTGCAGAAATTGCAAGAGGAACCACCTGGGAAAATGTCATCACCCTCCCAGATGTTACAAATGCGGGAACATCGGGCACATGAAGATGAATTGCCCATAACAGGGTGGAACAAGAGCATCGGGACCAAGTAGTGCTACTACTGGGGCACGGATTCAAGCCAGGGCTTCCCAAGCACCCAGGGGACAAGGGGGAGCAAGCGCGAGTAATGCGCCATCCGTGAACCAGGGAAGGACTCAAACCAGAGTCTATGCGATGACGGAGGCGGATGCTCAAGCTAACCCGGACTCTGTTGCAGGTACAATCACTTAATTACGTGTGTTTTATCCGCGTTTCATCCATAATTTGGGGTTATAAGCCCTAGGGGTCAATTGCAAATAGCCTTAGGACTAAACCGTGCGATTCCGAGCGAAATCGGGTTGATTTTTGTCTCAGGCACGCCGTGCCTAACCTTCAAGCACGCCGTGCCTGGCTTGCAGGCACACCGTGCCTCCGCTGTGCCTGGGTGGCAGTAGCTACTCGAGGAAAAACGGTCCCAGGCACGCCGTGCCTAACCTTCAAGCACGCCGTGCCTGGCCTGCAGGCACACCGTGCCTCCGCAGTGCCTGGGTGGCAGTAGCCACCCGGAAATATTTTAAGCCACGCACGCCGTGCGTGCCTCCTAGTCACGCCGTGCGTGGCACCCAGACTGCTGCGCATAAGCTCGAGCAGGGAGAGGGAGGTGTTGTCTGGTTCGTATCGTGAGCTCCAGTTGTCCAAATAGGGAGTGTGAGGTGTCTACGGAAAGCTGTCGAGACGAGGAATCCTTGAGGGTCTGTTTTGCATCAAATGAAGTTGTGGAAGGCCTCCAAATCGTCCTAACAAAACACAGCTTCGCAGAATTAGATCTTCCTTTCCAAAGTGAGTTTTAACCCCAAAACCTTCTTTTTCATTTTCCAAATGATATGAACGATAAGTGGAACTATTATACACTATTTCAAGTGTATAAAATGTTATTATAAGGGTACCTTATTTGTTGGAAAGGTTAGATACTAACCTATACAAAACCTTGAAAGGTTAGGGAACGAATTCGTCGGAAAACACCCGTTTTAGGGACTGTTTTCGTGTTGACGTTTAGGGGTTGAGCTAGCACTGTGAGGAGGCTGCTTAACACTCATTTTTAAGCAAGGAATCAGTTCTTAATCCACCTTGGTCGAATCTTTGACCATTGGATCAAGAAGGAGAAATTTAAAGCTCATTTGAGGTGAGGATCGACATCTAGTTGCTTACAACTTGTAGGTTAAGCATGAGATTACCTAAATGCCTAAATCATGTTTTTCATGGATTATAACGACTGATTATTGATTAAATATTGATATATTAGATAATTAATGAAATTGCAAATGATTTGGAAATCATATTGATAAAAATGGAGTTAAATGAACTATTGTGTGAAATAGGCATTTTTACTCATGTGTGAATTGTGTAGATACATAAATGATTATTTATGTATTACATTGGATGAATAAGTTGCTGCTACATATTTCTAAATATATAGGGATTTACAAATGAAATATATGATTGATGGAAATAATCTTAATACTATTGGAATACTAGTTAATGATTGTTTGTAATTGTTAAGAAATTGAATCTAAGGATTTGATTGTAAGTGATATACTTGATTGTGGTTCAAGTGAGTAAATTGTTGTAACGTGATGCTAAGATCATGATGAGGCAGTCTGTAAGATGTCCCGAAATAGCTTATTGATATTACAATTCTAGGCATAGCGAGTGCTTAGGAATTGGGGTCTATGCCAATGCAAGGAGATGTACTTGAGCCCGATGCTCTAGAATTGCATTGGGTAGACATAAGGATTTGGTTCAGCCCATGTAAGGAGATGTACTTGAGCCCGATGCTCTAGAATTGCATGGGTGAACATGACGTCGGAGATTGGTGGAGTAATTGACTTGTGATTGATGTGCATGGTGATGTAGTCGAGTTGGACTCGAGAAATGCAACATGTGTGTTAGGGTTGAACCCTATGTATTATCGTGACTAGGGGTCACGGGGTTTGGGTTATGTTTTGTAAACGAACTTTGGGCCATGGGCTGACTACTTGACTTTATATATAAAGTAAGTATATTTTAAAAAGGGATAACTTGGGGTTACGACCTAGAATTATATTATCACCCTATTTGAGGGTCTTGTGTTTGAAATACTTGTTGTATATCTATTAGATGCCATCCACACCAGTACTTTATAGCCGTATAGAGTACTGACCCCCTTTCGGGGGGCGTCCCACCACCATTTCAGGTTGAGGCTAGAGCTTGCTACCCGTGCTTGTTGATTGGGCGATCATCTTCGAGGGAATACTTGGTTCGTGCTTCCTTCATTCTGTTTTTAAACAATTTAAACATGCTCATGGATATTGTTTTTCATTATGGAGCCTGCGTGCTCGTGTTTGCCCCGTGTGGCACTTGTTTTCAAACTATGATTTCCGCTGCGTATTCAATTACTTATTATGTGTGTTTATGGATGACTAATGTGTGAATGATATTCGAGACGCCTTGTATAATATGGATGAGTTAGACTGCGGTTGACTATTCATATTGTACGGCGGATTGTTGACGTGTCCGGATAGATCCGGGGTGTGACAGTTGGACCCTATGAATTATCGTGACTGGTAATCACGGGGTATTGGGTTGATGTTTTGTAAACAAACCTTGGGCCTACGGGTTGACTACTTGACTTTATATATAAAGTAAGTATATTTTGAAAAGGGGTAACTTGGGGTTACGGTCTAGATTGAAATACTTGTGGTATATCTATTAGATGCCATCCACACCAGTACTTTATAGCCGTATAGAATATTGACCCCCTTTCGGGGGCGTCCCACCACCATTTCAGGTTGAGGCTAGAGCTTGCTACATGTTCTCGTTGCTCGGGTGATCATCTTGCAGAGAAGACTTGGTTCGTGCTTCCTCCATTCTGTTTTTGAACATTTATGCACATGCTCATGGATATTTTTTCACTATAGAGCCTGCGTGCTCATGTTTGCCCCGTGTGGCATTTGTTTTCAAACTATGTTTTCCGCTGTGTATTGAATTGCTTATTATGTATGTTTATGGATGACTTATGCGTGAATGATATTCGAGACGCCTTGTATAATATGGATGTGTTAGACTGTGGTTGACTATTCGTATTATACAGCGGGTTGTTGACGTGTCTGGATAGGTCCGGGGCGTGACAGTTTAATTGGTATCAGAGCCTTAGTCCATAAACTTCATAATGAAGACTCAAAATTCTCTTTTTCCAAATGATTTTGAAAACCATGAGCATAAATGTTTTGTACTTATAGAACTTTTGGTACTTGATTTGCAAGGTCTCTAATTGTTAAGATAGTACCCTTAGCAATTGGCATGGCGGCAATTTGAGCCAAGTAGTGTCTTAAGTACATATTCGTCAATTGACATTTGATACGAGTCTAATGACTCTTTTCAAAATTTCTTTCAGAAATGGACGGTGGTGGCAAGGTTACGAGAAGAAACCCAACGGGCCGTGCACCGGTGGCGACCGGGCAGGGAAGCCATGGGGCCTTTAGAGTATCTAGAGGGGCGAGCCGTGGAGGCCGATCGCAGACCATGAGCGATGGTCATGTTGACACCGAGAGTGAAACCTACTGGTCCTACAAGGACTCGACTTATCAACTGGAGACCGAGCCGGTTGAGACCCCTTACAAAGGGGACGACGATGATGTGAGTGATGAAGAGAGGGAGAATGACTCCCTAGCAAGAATTGAGGCGCTGCTCCAACAATACCAGTGAAAGCGCGAAGAAAGGAGGGAACACCGAAGGCGCCGAGGAGGGCAACCTTCGGGTGGGGCTTCAAGAGGAAGAAGTCATGGAGACTCTAGGGCCCACATCAAACCACATGGGGGCCAGAGTGATGGAGGTCCAATCATAAGGATCTCAAAATATCTCAAGGATGCGAGAGACTTGGGGTGCAAACCCTTCAATGGAACATGTGACATCTCGGTCGCCGATGAATGGATCAAGAGGTTGAACAAAGCAGCCATTGACATGCAACTCACCCCCGAGTTTAAGCTAAGGGTGGCGGTGAGATTGCTTGAAGGGATGGCGTCCACATGGTGGGACGGAGCCAAAGGCAAGTATGGCAGGACCGTGACCTGTGAGAATTTCCGACAGGAATTCTTTGCCCAATACTATTCTGATTTTGAAGTGAACGCTAAGAGGAGAGAGTATACCATCCTAACCCAAGGTGGTAAAATGACGGTGAGGCAACTTGAACACAAATTCAGGGAGCTCGCGGAGTTCATACTGGAGTATGTCTATGACGAGAACCGAATGGTTAATCACTTCTGGGATGCCTTAGAGTTGGAGGTGCATGAGAGGGCAACACAGTTTCCTAACATGACCTTTAGCCAAGTAGTCGAGCAGGGTTTGAACGGAGAGAAGGAATGGGAAGAAAGAAAGATGAAAAACACCGAAGAGGTGAAAGAGAGAAAGTGGGAAAACCATGACCTCAGGGTCCTAATAAGAAGGGGAATCACGGAGGAGGGGGATCTTTTCGGGCACCCCACCGCCATCTAGGGGAAGTCAAGGCCCGAGCAGGCAAGAACACAGATCACAAGCCTCGGGATAGCACCAGGCATCAGGACCAAATGGTACCAATGCGGGAGCACCGGGCACATGAAGATGAGTTGCCCACAACTGGGCGGAGCAAGGGCATCAAGACCAAATGGTGGTACTACCGGGACACGGAATCAAGCTGGGGCTTCCCAAGCGTCCAGAGGGCAAGGGGGAGCAAACGCGAGCAACGCGCCGTCCATGAACCAAGGAAGGACACAAGCTAGAGTCTATGAAATGACGGAGGCGGATGCTCAAGCTAACCCGGATTCTGTCGCATGTAATACATCAAATTTTGAATGTTTTTAGGCTTATATGGGTAATGGAAGCTGTGGGGGTTGAGTACGGGCCACCCCGGGGATGAACCGGGAGGTTTCACATG